TTCTATGACAGTCAGGGTCAGATTGTAAAGGGCCTTATGCTTTATGTAAAGAATGGGACATGAGAAACACTGAGGTGTTGTAAGTTGGGGAGTGTCCGATCTGACAAAAGAACTTGGAAATCATCAGCATGAGATGAGATTGCCCAGGGATATCAGGTTGCAGAGGATTTAACCTTTGCGGATCCTTGATCCCTTTGGGACGTGATAAAAGCTATGGATGCTCTTTCCAGAAAACTGAACATATTGAAAACCACACCAACATATACACAATTTCAGGGGATCCTCAGATTAAGAATTTTTGATGTATAGAGGACTGAGAAGTAGCCTGAGGAAGTGGATATTCAAGGGATGGGAAGAAGATAAAGGGAGCAGGAAAAGGGCCAAAGAAAGATGACCCAAGAGGTACAGGAAGAGCCAGGACACAAGTGTTGGGAAGCTGTGGGAGCGCAAAGATCCAAGGAGGACATGATCAGCAGTGTTGAATGCTGAGAGACTTCAGCTAAGGTCAGCACTGAAACATATCTTTTGCACTTACAGTTAAGAAATCACAGCCGAAAGAGGTGGCTCACATCTGTAATCCCAGCACTTTGGGAGGCCAAGGTGAGAGAACAACTTGAGCCCAGGAGTTTGAGACCAGTCTGGGCAACAAAGTGAGATGCCATCTCTACAAAAATTTTAAAAATTAGCTGGGTGTGGTTGTGTACGCCATAGTCCCAGCTACTTGGAAGGTTGAGGCAGGAGGATTGCTTGAGTCCAGAAGTTCAAGTTTGCAGTGAGTTATAATCACGCCACTGCACTCCAGCCTGGGTGAAAGAGTGAGACCCCATCTCTAAAAATAAAAAGAAAGAAAGAAAAATCATTGGTAATGGTATCGAGAAAAGTCTCTGCAGAGTAACTAGTAATGGTAGCTCCAGATATATATTTTTTAACCCGAGAATTATATAGGTGGCATCTAGGTGGAAATAAGGGTAGGGGACTTGTCTTGACCCTGCATTTGCAGAGCACTAACACGTCAAATAATTGTCAATTGTCCAGAAAAAGTATTGAAGGGGCTTATGGAGATTATGTCTGTTTGTCCCTGTTGCCACCACTATGATGGAGTCAAAAGCCAGAAAGCAACAGTTGAAGGAATGATGTGAGGAAATGGAGAAGTTTGGTTTGTTGGGTAGGAGAGACCTAAAGGGCAGTTAAAATAAGGAACAAAAACAAGACGCGGATTTGTCTCCAAGAAGTGGACACATCCTGATATTTCTATGCTATACTCTAAGAAAAAGAGGGGAAAACAGAGAGGCTCAAGACACAGAGAGAAGTGGCTGAAGGGCCAAACATCCAGGAAGAGAGTCTGGACTTGAAGAGGAGGAGGGCCCCCCACCTGGAAGTGCAAGGTGAGGAGGCCTGTGGCTGTGTATAATTTCCTCTAAGTATGAATTGAAGTAGATCAGCCCCAGTGGCCTCTATTTTCCCCATAACATAAGAGGTGAGGTTGACTGCTGAGAGAAAAGATGGGAGTTGTGTGGAGGACTGGAGGACAATCCCTATCTTTTAGAATCACTAATGAGAGATGGATGGGAGAGGAAGCTGAACAAGGACAAATTAAAGAACAGCTCAGCAGGCTGGTGATGGAGCAGTGTCAGTCATGCTCCCAACAGGAAGCAGATGGCACATTCAAGTGCTGTAACTGAGGAGCATGTCCGAAAGGGAATATTCATCAAGCTGTGAACAGGAAACTTGTAAAGGACAGTGAAGCACCCTGGAACTAGCAAGAGTGGGGAGCCTTTCCCACCCCCAGACCTCAGGGGCAAGGGGAGGGAGCAGATCCCAGATCCAGAGGGAATGGGTATAATTTAGGAGAGGGCTGCCACATTGGAACTCATACGGCACAGATGCTGACATTATCTGAAGCCAGGCAGCCTTCTCTCTCTCCAGGTTCTGGTGACTGTTCCATCCTCTTGTCCCAGTCCCAGGGGATTCTGCTATTACTTGTGGTTTCACTATACTCTTTCTATACTTTTATAAATATCTCTTTACTAGATTATCCAGTTTTAGTACACCATCTATTTCCTGAAGGAAACCTGACATATATGGTTCTTTTAAAAGACTAATAAAACAGACAAACTCTGGAAAGAAGAACAAAGGAGGAGATGAATAATATTAGGAATAAAAAGGGAGACAAAGGGTCGGACGCAGTGACTCACGCCTGTAATTCTAGCACTCCGGGAGGCCAAGGCAGGTGGATCACTTGAAGCCAGGAGTTGGAGACCTGCCTGCCCAACATGGCGAAAGCCCATCTCTACTAAAAAAAAAAAATACAAAAATTGGCCAGGCATGGTGGTATGCACCTGTAATCTCAGCTGCTTTGGAGGCTGAGGCAGGAGAATTGCTTGAACACGGGAGGTGGAGGTTGCAGTGAGCTGAGACTGTGCCACTGCACTCCAGCCTGGGTGACAGGCAAGACTCTGTCTCAAAATAAGTAAATAAAAGGGGGTAGGAAAGACAAAGTATAGTTATAGCATGGATTTTTAAATACTCTTATACTATGAACAACTTTATGCCAACAAATTTGAAAATTTACAAGAAATGGACACATTGACAAATTCCTAGAAGATATATAACTTAAAACTCAAGAAGAAATTGAAAGCCAGACTAGATCTACTGCTGTTAAATAACCTGAAACAATGGATTTAAAAATCTCCCCATAAAAGTGTTTTATGCAGCAAATTTAAATATTTCTAATGTCATTTTTTTTTCTTTAAGAAAAATTGTTTAATAGAGACAGAGTCTTCCTATGTTGCCCAGGCTTATCTTGAACTCCTGGGCTCAAATGATCCTCCTGCCTCAGCTTCCCAAAGTGCTGGGATTACAGGTATGAGTCACTCTAATGTCTTTTTAAAATCTGATCCAACAATCCTGTGTACCTGTGTGTACTTCTTATTCTAGAAGAAGCTCTAAGAGGCTGTGGGAAGCATCTGCTTTATTCATTGTGTACCCCAAACCTAGCATAGGCTTGGCTTAAACTTAACATAATTAAATGATGGCAGGAAAGTTAGAACATCTAGAGGATCAGTAGACATATGAGATAAGGGCAGGGGACCTTCATAAAAAACAGTAGGTCCCAAGTGAAACTCCAAACAGCCAGGGCAGGGCTGTGATCTTAAAGACTGAGCCCTAATCCACCTGCTTTGGTAGTAGTCAATACCAGAAGTCCCTTCAGAATGAAAATCTTCATGCAACAAGTTTCTCCTTAAGATCTATCTCTACAACAACCTGATGAATCACCTCTAGAACACTGAAATTCACCATTTGGTCCTTTGGTTAATAGTGCCAAAGTACGTTATTAGGAAGTGCCTGAGAGAAACAGCTGAATAACATTACCAAAAAGGCCAGAACCTGGCCGGGTGTGGTGGCTCGTGCCTGTAATCCCAGCACTTTGGAAGGCCAAGGCAGGTGGATTACTTGAGGTCAGGAGTTTGAGACAAGTCTGGCCAACATGGCAAAACGCTGTTTCTACTGAAAAAAATATATATATTCAAAAATTAGCTGGGTATGGTAGTGGCTGCCTATAATCCCAGCTACTCGGGAGGCTGAGGCAGGAGAATCTCTTGAACCCGGGAGATGGAGGCTGCCCAGATCACGCCACTGCACTCTAGCCTGGGTGACAGAGTGAGATGCTATCTCACAAAAAAAAAAAAAAAAAAAAAAAAAAAAAAAAGTCAGAACCCAATTCAGATATATGAGAAGTTTTTCAGTAACTTTCAAGCTACTTATATATGTTCCCCCACCCATATCGTTTATGACCTGCAGTAAAACTTCTGAAACAAATATTTTCCTTTAAAGGCACCGAGAATCATGATCTTATCACGATGACAAGAGGATTCTAACTTTCATCTTTGATGTAGGGAAATTAACTTACTTTTTATTTTTATTCAGAACTTCTACAAAGTCATGTGGGTTTCAGCTGGACACAGGGTGTGGGCACAGAACCAAGGGTTAGACGAGGCTTGGGAGGGTGTTGGGTTTTGCCTACCAGGAGCGGCTATGTTTCTGTTTTTGTTGTTGTTAATTTGTTTTTACTCCTGAGCTTCTGGACCAGTTTGCCATTAGAGCAGCCAAGAAGATGTAAGATTGTGTATCTCATGCAAAAGTGTTTTTACCGTGAAGATCTGGCTTCCGAATTCACAGGGGTCTCTCATCAGTCCGAGCTGAGTAGCTGACTTAAGCTCACATGACCCGGTGAAGGGCAAGCATCATCAGGTGGACTTGAGGGCTTCAAGTACGCTGCCCTGAAGCACCAGGAACTTGGTTGCTAGGCATCCTCCCCAGGATCTACCCAGGACTTTCCTATCCAAGTTTGTTGAAGCAAAACCGAGGGATTAAATGAAATGCAACCTCACAAAGTACCAATGAAGGGTGTGGAAAACAGGGATCCTCTTTTTAAATATCTGCCCCCAAATATCAATCCCAATAAACTATACTAAAAACCATGGATGGCTAAAATGCAATTTATGTCTTTTCTCTGTTCAAGGATTTTTTTAATCATTAAACTATGTTCTCATATTTCCATCAGGCCCCAAAGGTTGGAGGATGCTGGCCCTTTAATGGGTAAGCAGGGGAGGAGCTGGGACTTTTAAAGGCAGGAGCAGCAAACAGGTCCTGGCCCAGGCTGCTATGAATAACTTAAACAGAAAGGGCAGCAACAGTCAGATGGTGGGTGTCAGCAGCAAGGCATCACCACACTCGGACGGTGACTGGTGATGTCCGTTGGGAAGTACTTCTCTTCCTTCTCCTAGCCTGTCCCTCATTTCTGTCCCTTTGTGGGACAGCTCCCTAGAGCTGAGCTGGGAGGGTGGGGGTTTATGGCAGTCTGAGACCCCAGGGTCTCTCTCCTCAAGACCATGGCCAAGAATTCTCTCACCATCTTGCTGGGAGGATTCCATGGCTGTTTTAGGGTGCCATATCATCCTTACCGACAATGGTGCCTCTTGGCCTCTTTCTTGTCTCAGGTTTACCTTCCAGAGGCTGGCAATGCTCTTTCACTGGAGGACACAGGCAAGAAGGAAGTTCACCAGCCTACCAAGATGAAATGCCTTGAAGGTATCAACAAGTGGGCCGTGGTGTTATATAAATGCCCCAGCATGCAGAGCTTGCTGGTCTGTTTCACGTATGGGCTTGGATGGCCAGAGTCACCGGAAGTCATTCCCAATTCTTCCACTTGCTAATTATATTACAGTGGGTGACTGAGAGGTCACTCTTCTGGGCTTTATTTTTCTCACCAACCTAGCAAAACTATCCATAACAACCCAGGACAGCCTCATATGACTATTAAATGAACATATGCACGTAAAGTATATGGCACACAGTAGGGTTAAATTGCAGTGAGTCGGGGCAGCTGGAACTTGTTCAAAGAGGCAACAGAAAGGGCGTTGGGTGGGGCAGAGCAGATGGAAAAGGCTGTGCTAGAACTTAAGCAATTGAAGAGGTGATGTGAAAGTGAAGGTGTTTGGTATCTGCCAGGTTCCTTTTGTTTGCTTTTTAAATTGTTATTTAGAGACAGGGTCTCACTGTGTTGCCCAGGCTGATCTCAAACTCCTGAGCCCAAATGATCTTCCCACCTTGGCCTCCCAAGTACCTGGGACTATGGGCACAAGCCACCACACCTGGCTCAGGTTTCATTTGACTTACTAGGGGATGGTTCAGGGGAACTTGGGAGAGGGGAGGCTGAGTTAAACCCACAGGACAGGAGGCATTATGTTCAAAGGTGGTGCTGGAGATGGCTTAAGAACAGAAGTGCTATTGAGTAGTAGCCTCTCTAGACAAGACTCACACCTGAGCCCCCATTTTACCTTCTCCTCTGGCCCACACTTAAACCAAGGGCCAGGTAAGACCTGTGGCCCTTTGGCTCCTGAGGAGGAGCTGGTGTCTGCCTGCCACTTGGAAAAAGAAGAAGAGAATGAAGGGGAGGAGGAGGAAGAGGAGGAGGAGGAGGATCTGGACCCAGACCTGGAGGAGGAAGAGGAGGAAGAGAATGATCTTGGGGATCCAACTGTACTTGGTGCTGTCCATAACACCCAGGTACCATGGCAGGAGGGAATGGGAGAGGGTTGTCCTGAACTGTCTGTGGCTCACAGGCTGTCACTAAACATTCCTCTTCTCTTTTCCACCCTTTTTCAAGGCAAGTTCTGGATTAACACTTCGTTTTTAAGCCTTGAACCTGAACTAGGGACTCTCTCCTTCCCTCTTTCTCCTGTCTTCCACTTCGTTTCTGATGCTGTTCTTGCCTTAAAACCAGGTCCTAGCAGAGCTGTGCATCGCCCACAGGCGGTGGCCCTGCTACTAGTGTTAAAGGTGAGTCATCTTTGCCTGATCCTGGGCCTCTGTCTCACTAGTCCATTCCTGGTATTTGTTCCCTTGGATCCCATAACTAGTGGAGAAGGACAAGGACTCCCATGTAGATATGAAGTGAATCAGACCTTCCTTCAACCTACTACTAAGATACAGTAGTCCATGGTTTCACTTTCTGCCATTTCAGTTACCCTTGGTCAACTATAGTCTGAAAATAGGCGAGTATAGTACAATAAGGTATTTTAAAAGACTACATTCACGTAAGTTTTATTACAGTATATCATTATAACTGTTCTATTTGTATTGTTCATTTCTTCTTCTTTTTTTTTTTTTTTTTTTTTTGAGACGGAGTCTTGCTGTGTCGCCCAGGCTGGGGTGCAGTGGCACGATCTCGGCTCACTGCAAGCTCTGCCTCCTGGGTTCACGCCATTCTCCTGCCTCAGCCTCCGAGTAGCTGGGACTACAGGCGCCCGCCACCACGCCCGGCTAGTTTTTTGTATTTTTAGTAGAGACGGGGTTTCACCATGTTAGCCAGGGATGGTCTCGATCTCCTGACCTCGTGATCCACCCACCTCGGCCTCCCAAAGTGCTGGGATTACAGGCTTGAGCCACCGCGCCCGGCCTTGTTCATTTCTTATTGAATCTAATTCATAAATTAAACTGGCCAGGTGCAGTGGCTCATGTCTGTAATCCCAGCACTTTGAGAGGATTGCTTGAGGCCAGGAGTTCCAGACCAGCCTGGGCAACAAAGCAAGACCCTGTCGCTACCAAAAAAAAAAAAAATTTCAAAAATTAGCCAGATATGGTAGTACATGCCTGTAGTCCCAGCTACTTAGGAGTCTGAAGCAGGAGGCAGGTTTGAGCTCAGGAGTTTGAGCCTGCAGTGAGCTATGATAGTGCCACTGCACTCCAGTCTGGGTGTCAGAGCAAGACCCTGACTCTAAAAAAAAAAAAATTTTAAATATGAACTATCATAGGTGTGTATATATAAGAAAAAGCACTACACAGGGTTTAGTACTATCTGGTTTCAGGCATCCCTTGGGGGTCTTGGAAATTATCTCTCTTGAATAAGGGAGGACCACTGCAGTAGTCTTATTCCTCCCAGGAGAGGGAGAGGGATCCTGGCCCAGTTGACTTTGAACCTGAGGGAGGGCCAAGTTGCCACTGCCCTGGATGTTGGAATAGCTGGTCTTGCTGCCTCCGTCCACCTCCTCAAAAACACAGGTGAATGTAGAAGACACTACAGAGGCCCATTCAAGCCTGGTTCCTCCCTCCTGTTCCAGAGAGCTCTGCTCAGCTCCCCTGGAGTCAAGGCCCCTGGTGTGCTGGGAATGTCACTTGCCTCCTTGCATTTTCTGTGGCAGGTGAGTCTACTGCAGCCTTCATACTGTGCATAGTGAGGATTCCATCCATTATGTTCAATCTGGCCCCAACCCTGGTCTGGAGTTAAGGCACCCAAAGTGAGGTATGGGTATGGGAGGTGGGAGTTGCCCCAGCATAAAGGAGCTTGATAAATGACAGAGGTGGTGTGCCCAACCATGGGCATGGATAGACACCTTCATATGTGGTACTAGGACAACTGGCCATGTGTATGAACAAGGACAAACTACTCCTGCCTTAGGCAATCTTTCAGTAGATGGCCAGCCCTTAGCTGGAAAGAGCACCTGCCCTTCAATTAACTGTGTAATGGGAACATGGCCTGGGGTAGAGGAATTCAAGAATGACGATATCCTGCAGGGAGAACTAGAAAGAATTAGAGTTTTGAGGAGGGCTTCAAGTGAGTCAGAAAAAGACAGATGAGTACTGCCCCAGTGGCTGAAAACAGCCCAAGAGAAGGCTATCATAGAGAGGAGAGTAGGAAAAGCACATGACCCCACATTGTCAGGGAATAAAGAGCTGCTTCCTAGTCAAGCCCTGTTGAAATAAGGGTAGGGCTGGGTGTGGTGGCTCACGCCTGTAATCCCAGCACTTTGGGAGGCTGAGGCGGGTAGATCACAAGATCAGGAGATCGAGACCATCCTGGCTAACATGGTGAAACACCGTCTCTACTAAAAAAAAAAAAAAAAAAAAAAAAAAAAAAAAAAAGCCAGGCTTGGTGGTATATGCCTGTAATCCCAGCTACTCAGGAGGCTGAGGCAGGAGAATGGCGTGAACCCAGGGGGCGGAGCTTGCAGTGAGCAGAGATCACACCACGGCAGTCCAGCCTGGGGCGACAGAGTGAGACTCTGTCTCAAAAAAAAAAAAAAAAAAAAAGGAAAAGGAAAGAAAAGAAACAAGGGCAGGAACCACAGTCTGGTGCCCTCAAAGCTGCCTTGAGGGACTCACAAGATGGCACAATGTTGGGTGAAGTTCTTGAGGGGAAAAGGCAGGAAAGGAACTGAGCCCTCACAACAACAGCAGCATTCTTTTGGTGGAGATGGCATTCTCCCAGACCTCTTAATTCCTCTCTCAGACCTTGGACTACCTGTCGCCCATCCCTTTCTGGCCTACATTTCCCAGCACCAGCTCTCCAGCACGGCACTTTGGACCTCGGCTGCCCTCACCAGACCCAGCTCTTTTCTGCAGCCTGCTGACCTCGTGGCCCCCTAGGTTCAGGTACTGATTTGAGGTTCTCAGGAGGTGCTGGCTGAGGAGGGGTGGGGACCGTGCCTACCAGTTGCCACAGGAAAACAGAAATCTAGTAAGAGAAGTCTGAGGTATAGTGTAATTCCTTCTCCCTCACAAATGTAGCCCGAGGAAGATTAAAAACTTATTTAAAGCCGGGTGCTGTGGCTCACGCCTGTAATCCTAGCACTCTGGAAGGCCGCAGTGGGAGGATCACTTGAGGCCAGGAGTTCAAGACCAGCCTGGACAACATGGTGAAACCCTGTCTCTACTAAAAATATAAAAATGAGCTGGGCATGGTGGTGGGAGCCTGTAATCCCAGCTACTTGGGAGGCTGAGGCAGGAGAATCGCTTGAACCCAGGAGCCAGAGGTTGCAGTGAGCTGAGACTGTGCCACTGCACTCCAGCCTGGATGACAGAGGGAGACTGTCTCAAAAAAAATTAACAATAAAAATTTATTTGCAATCAGCTAGCATGATGGAACTGCCACTAGGATTCAGAACTCCTGATGACCAGGCCAAAAGGTTTTCTACTGTGCCAAGATTTCCTGCAGCCAAATTGCAGGAAAATAGATGTTGAAGGAGCTTGGGAGCCCTATGGGTCTAGGACTATGATGTGCCATGTGGCCGACTTTGGGAAAGTACCTAAAGATGAGGTTCCTTAGATGTTCACCTTAGCTGACCTGCGCTGAATGAATGGAGGGGGCAGAGAACTGAGAGCTTCCTTTCACCCAGCTCAAGTTACTTCTTGTCTTCCCAGTCATCTGACCCAGCTCCACCCTCAGCACCAACGGATCTTGCAGCAGCAGCAGCAGCACAGTCAAACACCAAGGTACAGCCCAGACCAGGAGCAGGGTTGAGGGGAACCCATCTGCATGCTGGGTCTCCCCTTGTGACCAGTCGTCTCCCTCAAAGCTCCCATTTGGTGGTTAAAACTCTCATACTGTTGCCCACCCCTGTGCTTGCTCCATCCTTCCCAGAGAGCCCCACTTCCTGCTCACCACACTCCTTAGGAAGTGGCAGTGGTGGGTAAGTCTAAAGGGTTGTTCTTCCTGGCTTAAAGTCCCCCAGCCAAGAAGCCTTGGTCTCAGCAGCCAGACCCCTATGCTAACCTCATGACCAGAAAAGAGAAGGACTGGGTGATAAAAGTGCAGATGGTGCAACTGCAGAGTATAAACCCCCGCCTGGATGATTACTACTACCAGGTGAGCCCCGCAGTACTCAGCCCTGCCTCTGACCTTGGGTCAAACGGGCCTGGACTCCCGGGCCCTCTCTGATCCTCTCTTCTGCTCATGGAGTTCATGTCTGTTCAGGTGGGAGAGAGAATCACTACAGGATGGGGGCCATATTTCTAAAATTGACATCCCAAGCTCATTTCTCTCTCTCCTCCTATGTTTCAGCCAACTGATTATTTCCAGTTCCCCAAACACACTTAGGTTTTGTCTCCACTCTTTGCTAAGAATTTTCCCTGTTCACCCAGGAAATATGGACTTTCCCACCTTTGTATGCTTAGAAATGTCTTGTTATATTCATCTACTTTCACTTTTTAGATCTAAAGCACAGGGATGTTACAAATAGTGGGATTCAGTTTGTTTAACTGAACAAACAACAGCAGACATTTTCACTCATTTTCCCCTGCTTCCTTCTGCCTTGATTTATGGGGCAAGTCTTTGTCCACAAGTTTTTGGGTTGTCTAGGCTATTGTGGTTTTTTTGTTTTGTTTGTTTTTGAAACAGAGTCTCCCACTGTCATCCAGGCTGGAGTGCAGTGGCACAGTCTCAGCTCATTGCCACCTCCACCTCCAGGGTTCAGGTGATTCTCCTGCCTCAGCCTCCCAAGTAGCTGGGATTACAGGCATGCACCACCATACGCAGCTAATTTTTGTATTTTTAGTAGAGACGGGGTTTCACCATGTTGGCCAGGCTGGTCTTGAACTTCTGACCTCAAGTGATCCACCTCAGCCTCCCAAAGTGCTGAGATTACAGGTGTGAACAACTGAGCAACTGCGCCCGGCTAGCTGTTTCACTTTCACTTCAACATCTGTGAGCCTCCCATCCAGGGCCCCTTCCTTATTCCCTTCTCATTTACATTAGGTATTTTTCCTTTCTTTCCACCAAGCTTCAAAAGCCCTCCGTTTTCTGCAAGGGTCACTGAAAGTGAAATAGTTTTGTACTCTCACCTTTTTGGCATTGCTTCTAAACAAAAGAGCCTTTTTCAAATCCTTGTTTGGCTTGTCAGTGGATTTTAGTTTAGGATTTCTCAACTTTAAGAAAATGTCAGAGCTGCTGAGTGAATCCACAGAAGTATAAAACTGGCCTAGAGGGCAACCGACAAACACATCCCTATGGCTAGTTCTGTTCTTCAACCTCTGGATGGCCCTCATATCATCAGATAACTGATTTTTAGAAAGTACAGGTGAGGTCACAAGATTAAATGGGGACGTGGGGAGGACAGGTGGTATGCAGTGTGTGTGTACTAGGGCATGAGGAATGCAGGAAGGTTACAGACGCTGGAACAGGTTTGCTCACTGGCTCTCCACTTTGCTCTCTGCCCTTTCATCAGACTTGGTGGTGGTACCTAGTCTTTAAGTATTTGGTATGTGAATTCCAAAATGGGTGATGTGGGGCCCAGGGTGCTTAAGACACTTTAGAATAACTGCAAGGAGGGCCTAAGGTATCAGCATCATTTCTGGAATGATTGTTGTAGGAAAGAGTGTTAAGAGGCTGTGCTTGTCTGGGCACAGTGGTTCGCCCCGTAATCCCAGCACTTTGGGAGGCCAAGGCGGGCTGATTGCTTGAGTCCAGGAGTTCAAGACCAGCCTGGGCAACATGGTGAAATCCTATCTCAACAAAAATACAAACATTAGCCAGGCATGGTAGCACGCGCCTGTGGCCCCAGCTACTGAGGAGGCTGAAGTGGGAGGATCACTTGAGCCAGGGAGGTTGCAGTGAGCCAGAGATTGTGCCACTGCACTCCAGCTGGGTGACAGAGGGAAACCCTGTGTCAAACAACAAAACTTATAACACACACACACACACAAAAAAAACTTAAGAGGCTGCACTTGAGAAACTTAATTCTAAGGTCAAAAGATGAATATAGAGTTTTGTTTTTTTGTTTCCTATTCCATGCATTCTCAGGAATATTACCAGAAGCTAGAGAAGAAGCAGGTAGACGAAGAGCTACTTGGACGAAGAAACCAGGTTGAGTCCCTCAAGCTGGTAACGCCTTACATTCAGAAGGCAGAGGCTTATGAGTCCGGTAGGGTCAGGGCTGGCCTGCTGACTTGGGCTGGGCATCTGAGTGGACAGAGCGTGGGAAGAGGGAGGGAAATGTGCCTCTCTTCTCATGCAGTAGTCCGAATCGAGGGTTCCCTGGGCCAGGTAGCTGTGTCGACGTGCTTCAGCCCTCGCCGAGCTATTGATGCTGTACCCCATGGAACTCAAGAGCAGGTGGGAGCATTATCTTCCCAGACCTTTTTCTCTCCCCTTTGGAAGGTTTCTAGCCTTTCCAGCTCAATCTCTAGCTAGTCAGGGGCCTGGGCGGGGGCTGTGGCAGTGGCAGTCTAGCTGATAGCTGGCGACTCTCTTCTCCTAGGATATAGAAGCTGCAAGCAGTCAGCGGCTTCGAGTGTTATACCGGATTGAGAAGGTGAGATATCAGTTCTTTAGGGACGAGTTCCGAACCTACCTTTGAGAATGAGATAGTACCGAAATTTACCTCTTTTTCCACCCTCAAATTCCCAGATGTTCCTTCAGTTACTAGAAATAGAGGAGGGCTGGAAGTATAGGCCTCCACAGCCCTGCTTTTCTGAGCAGCAAAGCAACCAGGTTGAGAAGCTCTTCCAGACCTTAAAGACCCAGGAGCAGAACAACCTGGAGTGAGTGTGGGAGGGTTCCACCTCAGCCCAGGTAGGGAAGGAGCAGCAAAGACACTGGTCTTGCTTCTGCCTCTGCTTTCTGGCATGTATCCCTCTCCTCGATGCAGAGTTCTGAAAATGTTCCCCTCTCTCCCTTGTAGGGAGGCAGCAGATGGCTTCCTGCAGGTGCTCTCTGTGAGGAAGGGGAAGGCCCTGGTGGCCCGGCTGCTCCCCTTCCTGGCCCAGGATCAGGCTATTACCATTCTTTTGGCTATCACCCACCATCTGCCCCTCCTGGTCCGGAGGGATGTGGCTGATCAGGTACTGTGGCATTGAGTGGAGAAGAGGATGGTCTCCTGAATAGGTTAGGGGTCATATCTCCCCTCCAGTCCCCACATGCCCCAGAGATGCCAGAGAAGGTGCTGGGCGCAGTGAGGGATGCTGGCCTTGCCACCCTCGGGCAAGAAAGTTACAGAACTATTACAGGAACAGTGGATCATCTTTAGGTACAACAAACAAAAAGCAACAGGCGTATGGTCGCACAGGTGTCAGTGTGCTGAGGAGGTCTGAGTAAAAGATTAGGACGCCCTGAAAAATGTTGAGCCCCTATCTACTTTTCTTAGAGAAGGCATCCTAGGACGAGTAGGTACTGAAGGTGTCAGTGTTGGGGATGGAGAGTCATAGTGGTGACAAGCCCGGTAAGTAACCTCACCAAGATGTGCCAAAGACAGTCAGCGATGGAAGGGCCTGTGGAGGCAAGGTAAGGGGAGGGGAAGTTGTAGTGGGATTCGGGAGGTGCTTACTGATCTTCTTGCAGGCCCTACAAATGTTATTCAAACCTCTGGGCAAATGTATCAGTCACTTGACCCTCCATGAACTCCTCCAAGGACTTCAGGGATTAATGCTGTTGCCACCTGGCTCCTCAGAGCGGCCAGTCACCGTGGTGCTTCAGAATCAGGTAACATGTCTAGGAGGCTTTTTTCCATAGATGGCTTTCAGGTTGGTATCACTGATAAGGGATAAGTTGGGGGACAGTCTCATCTCTCCACAAATCTTATCCTCTGCAGTGCCTCTCAATTTCTAGTAAGCACAGGATCACCTGGCCAGCTTATTAAACCCAGCTCCTTGGTCCCACTCAGTCATTCAGTGGGTCTGGGGTGGGGCCCATGTGCCAGCTCTGTTTTTCTAATAAGCTCCCTAATTGCTGCTGATGTGAGCCTCCAGAGCAGGTCTCCAAACTCTTGTGTACCTCTGTCAGTAAAAAACATTCTAAACCACACTACCCAAGTGTTTATAAACCAAATGTAACACTAGTAATAATAGGTACATAATAAATATTTTTCATTTATTTTTTAGATAGTCTCACTCTGTCACCCAGGCTGCAGTGCAGTGGCACGATCTTGGCTCGCTGCAACCTCTATCTCCCGGGTTCAAGTGATTCTCCTGCCTCAGCCTCCCAAGTAGCTGGGATTACAAGTGTGTGCCACCACACCCGGCTAAGTTTTGTATTTTTAGTAGAGACATGGTTTCACCATGTTGGCCGGGCTGGTCTTGAATGCCTAACTTTAAGTGATCCGCCCGCCTCGGCCTTCCAAAGTGCTGGAATTACGGGCATGAGCCACTGCACCCGGCCAATAGGTATATAATAAATATAAGATAGAAAATTTTAAAGAAAAGACTCTAGATGTGAAAATTTTGATACTGTCTTTTAATATCCCAGTGGATTATCTCGTGTATGCCACACTGAAGGTCTTTGCTTAAAGAAGTGCCTCTTAAAGTGGAGTCCACAGACTACCTGCCTCAGATTCCTGGAGGCATTCCTAACCTCCTACTCCTAGGAGTCAAGCCTAGAAATATGCATTTAATCAGCTCTCCAAGAGTGTCTTTTGGAAAAGTTCAGAGCAGTGATTCCTATGGAAAGGTTAGAGAGTTCTTTGGCTCACCAGTGTAAAACCTGACAGCCCTTGTGCATATCTTGGGCTCCATCTCTAAATGTTAACCTGTCCTTTAGTTGGGAAGATAAGAGTCAGGAAAGCACCAAATGCTGAGAGTGAACTCATTTTGCGCTGGAATATATGTATGTCCCTTGCAGTTTGGAATATCTTTGCTCTATGCCCTACTGAGTCATGGGGAGCAGCTGGTATCGCTGGATTCTTCCCTAGAGGAACCCAACAGTGACCATACAGCTTGGTAAGATCATAAAGGCCTTGTAAATACTATCTCAGTACCCCTGGGATGTGCAGACTGAGCCAGATGAAGTATTTCCTGAGGCATTTCAAGTACTGAGGAGGAGGCTGGATAGAGAAAGAAGTAGCAGTGTTGTAACTGTTCTGCTTTTTTTTTTAAATAGTGCCCTAGAGTTTTGGTTTCTTCTAGGAGGCAGTATAACATGGTACCTAAGGGGACAAGCTTTAGAGTTTAAAAAGACCTAGGTTTGAATTCTGACTGTATCACTCACTAGCAATATAACTTTAGGGCAAGTTCTTTCACTTCTCACTTCTCTTAGTTTGTTTCTTTATCTACAAACTAGGGATGATGGTATTAACCCCTCATAGTTCTTAAGATTAAATAGGAAGGGAAATATGTAAAGCACTAAGCATTGCTTGGCAGGTAGCAAACATGCAAATGTTACCTCTGAATTGCTACCTGGGGGTGGGGGACAATGGTAGTAGCAATGGAAAGATAATAACCTTGGCCCTGAGTCTGTTTCTTAAGCAAATTTATTTGCTTATATTTATATTTATGCTCTCTAGGACAGACATGGTGGTTCTGATTGCCTGGGAAATAGCCCAAATGCCTACAGCCTCTCTGGCAGAACCCCTAGCTTTCCCCAGCAACCTACTTCCCCTGTTCTGTCACCACGTGGACAAACAATTGGTTCAGCAGCTGGAGGCCAGGATGGAGTAAGTCATCACAGAAACAAGGTCAAAGTCCCTTGTTCAAGCCCAATCTATGTTCTGTTACTTGCTTCACTACTTCCTTCTTTTAAATTATGAGCATGAAGGAACATGTGCTTTTAGAAGTGGTTCTACACACTGACATTTACTGTGTAATCAGTCTTGACCAAGTCTTCAGCCAACCTTTCATTCTAGGCGCTTTGGTCATTTATAGTGCTAAGCTATTTGAAGGCAAGAATTAGTTAAAGAACCTGAATTATTCATTCATTCAAGAAATACTTGAGGGACAACTATTCCAGGATATAGGCATGAATAACATGGTCATCTCTGTCTTCAGAATTACCGCTAGAGTCAGATACTAGTCAAATCATATAAATGCTTGCAAAGTAGAATTGTGCTTACAGTTAACACCTGTTCTCTTTATAGGTTTGCCTGGATCTACTGATCTGTTTGTTCTGGAATACATATATGTGGGAAGTTGAATCATCAGACACTAGCTGTATAGACTGTATTTACAGGGATCCAGAGAGTCTGAAGACATTTCTTAAGCCTTTATATATTGGAGAACCCTTCCCCAAACATTTTCATATCCTTTCTTCAAAAATCTAAATGATGTGCCTAAAAATAAGACATGGCATAATAAGGTATAATTAAAGAGATAATAGAATGATGTGTTGGAACTTGCTTGTAAGTTAAAACCCGTAATGAAGGTTATCTTATGTGTGAGTGCTCCAGGAATGTCCTTTTGCTTTTCTTTAAGATAGGGTGTTACTCTGTCACCCATGTGGAAGTGCAGTGGCACCATCATGGCTCACTGCAGCGTTGTGAGTACATGGCTCACTGCCTCCAGGCTCAAGTGATCCTCCCACCTCAGTCTTCTGAGTAGCTTGGATTACAAGCATGTGACACCACACCCAGTTAGTATTTAAAAAAAATTTTTTTTTGGCCAGGCGCAGTGGCTCATGACTGTAGTCCCAGCACTCCGGGAGGCCAAGGCGGGCGGATCACCTGAGGGTCGGGAGTTTGAGACCAGCCTGACCAATGTGAAGAAACTACGTCTCTACTAAAAATACAAAATCAGCCAGGCATGGTGACACATGCCTGTAATCCCAGCTACTTGGAGGCTGAGGCAGGAGAATCGCTTGAACCCGGGAGGCAGAGGTTGGAGGTTGCAGTGAGCCAAGACTGCGCCACTGTACTCCAGCCTGGCCAACAAGAGCAAAACTGTCTCTAAAAAAATTTTTAATTTTTTTTGTAGAGACAAGGGTCTCCCTATGTTGGCAAGGGTGGGCTCCAGTGATCCTCCCAACTTGGCCTCCCAAAGTGCTGGGATTTACAGGCATGAGAAGAATGTCCTGATTATAAGGGACAAGGCCTTGTAGCTAACACAAGTGTAACCTTTGAAATTGCTTTAACGTTGCCATTTTTTATAGAGAGAAAACTGCCCCAGCTAAGCTTAGAAGGTTGACTATATCTCCCTTGTGATATAAAATGTTTGGTTTCAGCCGGGCACGGTGGCTCACATCTGTAATCTTAGCACTTTGGGAGGCTGGGATGGGTAATTCACCTGAGGTCAGGAATTCGAAACCAGCCTGGCCAACATGGTGAAACCCTACTAAAATACAAAAATTTAGCTGGGTGTGGTGTGTGCCTGTAATCCCAGCTACTGGGGAGGCTGAGGAAGGAGAATTGCTTGAGCCCGGGAGGCAGAAGTTGCAGTGAGTTGAGATCCCGCCACTGCACTCCAGTCTGGGTGACACAGCAAGACTCCATCTCAAAAAAAAAAAGTTTGCTTTTATTTTGACAAATAAGGTCATGCATTGATCAACAAATGCTGGAGTACCTTTCATGAAACGGGCACTGTTTTAGGTACTAGCAAGGACAGTGGTGAGCAACAAAGTCCTTGCTCTTTTGAAGTTTACATTCTGATTGGACAGGAACTGGCAGAAAATATCAAGTAGTGATAAATACTATGATTAAAAACAAAACAAGGTGAGAGACTGCAGTAAAAGGGACTTTAGGTTGAATGGCTTAGGGAGGCCTGTCAATAGAGGTTACATTTATGCGGAAATGTTCTGAATGTGGCAAATGTGTTAAGAAGGTACAGCTACAGCTGTCTTTTAGGAGACTTTACCAAAATGCCTATTCAACTCCTCTTCTCACCTCAAACCCGTTGCTAGAGTCAGATACTAGTCTTGATCTTGATCAAGGATCTTGATCTTGGATCATACTTCTCTGAGAAAACAGACAGGAGCTCTACCATCTCCACCCCTTACTTACCCCATCTCTCTGTTACAATGGATATTATTTGACTTCAACTTTCGGGTCAACACCCTCACTATGGATCCACACTGTAAGACTTGATCCATGCTACCAAGGAAATGGCACCACCCCAGAGCCTGTAAGCAAACAGCACAATAAGAAAAGCGAAGAAAAGAGGCAGGAACTGGGTTCCAGGGGAGCTGGAGGCAGCTGGACCAAGAAGGCAAAGGGTAATGCACAGAGCGAGAACGGCTGCAACGGCCTGCTAGGCTAGGTTAGGCCTTCAAGCATGCCGGGGTAGTTAAGCAGAGTGCGACTGGGGCCAGAGCAGTTGTGGCTTTGCTATAGAGGCTGGTACTGCCCCCCACAGGAAAGGAATGGAACCGACTGGAGACAGCCGAGAGGTCTCCGCGGGAGTCACGAGGCCGAGCGTGAGCCGCTCCGTACACCGCGCATGCCCACGACGCAATCAGGTTCCGGCGAAAGTGCCCGGAAGTAACGGCCGCGCCAAGATGGCTGCAGAGGAGGGAGCCGGCAATGCTGCTTCCGCCGGCGGTAGCCGGGGCGCCGCGGCCATGGGGCGGGTTCTACCGATGCTGTTGGTGCCGGTCCCCGCCGAGGCGATGGGGCAGCTGGGCTCACGGGCGCAGCTGCACACACAGCAGGAGGCTCTGGGGAGCCTGACGGCTGCGGGCAGCCTCCAGGTGCTTTCTTTGGCGCCTGGCAGCCGGGGCCGGGGTCGCTGCTGCCTGGAGGGCCCCTTCTGGCAGTAAGTGCTGAGGGAGAGCTGGGCCGTTGGGGGAGTCCAGAGGGCTCACGCCGTGGCCTCCCTGCAACCATAGAGGTGGCGGGAGAAGGGTGACAGCCGCAGGAAACGGCCCAGAGACGAGCCTGGTTTCCTCTCAGAACCTTTCCCCCGACCTGAAGCGCTTGCCTCGTTGCATTCCGGCAGGCCGGCTCCCCTGTTCCGGGTGGGCGGAGACGGCGTCCAGCTCCTCTGCCACCTGCGGCGAACCCGGAACAGTCTCAGCTGAGGCGCTGATTCTTTATCAACACAGGTTGATTAACTGTCATAGGGTCGAGTCCCATGCCCATTTCGTCTTTCAGTTAAAGATGCCAGCTGAGGATCATCTCTAATTTGAATCGTCCTGATACTTTTTTCATGTCCTTGAAATTAATAGCGTTTTTCTTCACATGTAGTCCTCTTCTTCAAGGACAGAGTCCAGTTTGTCCCTTCACTTATTCAACAAATATTGTGTGCCTGCTGTTACATAGGAGCAGTGCCTAAAAAGTTGAGTAAGACACTTCTTTCTTGCGAGGCGCGCGTGTTTGGGGAAGACAAACATGTGATTACAATAATGCGTTACTTTGTACTTCTGTAACCTTGGTTCAGTACTTAAGAGTTTACATCATAAAGTTTGGGAATGCCCTGTTAGTGTTTTGAGTGGGCTGCTTTTTTTTTTTTTTTTTTTTTTTTTTTTTTAAGATAAGGTCGCTGTCGCCCAGGCTGAAGTGTAGTGGCTCAGTCACGGCTCACGGCAGCCAGCTTTGACTTCTTGGGCTCAGCCTCCCCTGTAGCTACGATTACAGGTGTGCACCAACAGGCCTGGCTAATTTTTCTATTTTTTTGTAGAGATGAGGTCTCACTGTGCTACCTAGGCTAGTCTCAAACTCCCGGGCTCAAATGATCCCACGTCTCCCTGCCAAAGTGTTGGGATTACAGGCGTGAGCCACTGAGCCCAACCTGTCCTTTAATAATTATTAATAGTAAGTATTTTCACAACTCTCTCTTTGAGACGGGTAGCTGAAAGCTGTCTTATTCATCTTGGAATCTCCATCTCCTCTAACAGCTCCTGACATTTAGAGATTCGTTTGATAAATCGGTGAATGCTTAACTCTTCTGGGTTTGTCTTCTCTATCCTTGATGTCTAGTTGCTAGAAGAGGAATCTGCATTTAGTTTATAAACTATTATAAACTAAGTTATTTATAAACTAGTTTAGGGGAAGTTAGTTTATTTAGCAGTATCAGGTACCTATGAATGTGGCTCTGTAAAGAGAGGAATGGGACAGAAAGAAAAGCAGAAATCTTTAGGAGTTTGAGAACCCAACAGAGAAGGTAAGACATACCCAGATGAAATAAAGGGGGCATTCTTATGCTAGTTCATGAAATTAGAGGGGAGGAGGACCAAGAAAGGACTTTTTAATTTTTTTATTTGAATTGAATTTTAATTCAGTTAAAATACTTCATAGGGTAAAAATAAGGGCATGTTTTTAGTATTTAGAGTTTACTTCCTACTTTTTCAAAGTACATAGACCTTTTTTATATTGTTGAAATTACATCATATAATTCTTGTTTATTGCCTTGAAAATTTCCTGTCTTTCCATGTGGCAATATTGTCCCTATGCTAATGATGTACTCGACCTTTTAAGTATATCTTAGTTTAACTTTTGTTTATTTTGACATTTAGGTTTTCTACATTTATCAATATGAAGTCAGAAACGTGTCATTTTTTTATCTAATAAGGACATAATACTGTAATAGTATAAAGCTACTGTAGTATTATAAAATACATAGTTTTATTACTAATTGAATTAAATCATGTATGTACCACAGTAGTTTTATATACTACTCCAGAAGTATAAAACTTGCTACTTCTGTAGAAAAAGCAAGTTTCTTAAAAGATGAAATTTTATCAACATGGTATAGCCTCACCTCTTTCCATTGTGTTATTTTCAGATTTGGGGCTTTTATTTGTAATATGTAATTTAATTTTAATATTTAATTTGAAGCTGAAACACCATCAGTCTTGCCAGTGTTGTTATTTTGACATTACAGTTTAAGAATTCCATAACTGTACTGTTTAGTAATGGTAGTCATTAGCTACATGTGGCTGTTAAAGTAAAAAATTTGGTTCCTCAGTTGCCCCACATTTCAAGTGTTCAGTAGCTGCATGTGGCTATTGACTACTGTATTGGGCAATGCTAATATAAAACTTTTCCATCACAGAAGGTTCTATTAGGCAAAGTTTTTCAAGATTTTGGAATCGTCAGTCTATAAATACAAATAATCACCTTCTTTTTAAAAGTCAAAACATTTAAGTTATCAAAAGCCTGTTTTATTGTACATACCGCCTCATATGAATAATATACATATTTTATTGTCGATACCTACCCTTGATCATGACAGTTTGTTTAAACATATTAGTTGGGATTAAAGATGAAAGAATAAAAGGAGCTATCATTTCTTGCTCTGAGCCCCACATTTTTGTTTTTTACCACCCACTCCTGTAGTTTTGTGTTGGTGTAAAAGGGAAGCAGGAAGAGGAGGGAGGTCCTAGAGCAGTTTATGTTCTCTTAAATTGAAGTGTAGAATGAATGCTACCTGGTCAACGAAACTGTTCTCTACTTATTCAGCCCTTCTACCCCCACCATTGTGAGTAAATATTATTGCGCATATAGAATACAATAAATCTAAACTTTTTTCTTAGCTTTATATGGGAGGATTCTCGTAACAGCAGCACACCAACTGACAAGCCCAAACTGCTCGCTCTTGGTGAAAATTATGAACTGCTTATCTATGAATTTAATTTGAAAGATGGAAGATGTGATGCAACCATTTTGTATAGCTATAGTGGGGAGGCATTGCAAAAGCTCATTGAAGATCAAGATATCAGTAAGTATCTACAGGTGGTCTTTCAGCGTATTTAAATTTGTGACATTATCATATAGTTATATACTTCAGGAAAAGTTCTCATAGATGTGAAATCAGGTCTACACTCTCCGATATAGTAGTCACTAGGCAGATGGGGCTATTGAGTACTTGAAATGTGGTTAATATGAATTAAGATGTACTTTGTGTCATATGCATATTAGATTTTGAAGACTTAATACTAAAAAGTAAAGTATCTCAATTTTTGTATTTAATTACATTTCAAAATATGAAATACTTTGGATATAAGCTAATGTATATTATTAAAATTAATTTCACCTGTTTCTTGTGGCTACCAGAAAATTTTATTTATTTTTATTTTTTTTTTTTTTTTGAGACAGAGTCTCACTCTGTCACCCAGTCTGGAGTGCAGTGGTATCATCTTAGCTCACTGCAACCTTCGCTTCCCCAGTTGAAGCGATTCTCGTGCCTCATCCTCCCGAGTAGCTCGAACTACAGGTGCCCGCCACCACGCCTGGCTAATTTTTATATTTTTAGTAGAGGCAGGGTTTCGCCATGTTGGCCAGGCTGGTCTCAAACTCCTGACCTCAAGTGATCCGCCCACCTGGGCCTCCCAAAGTGCTGGGATTACAGGTGTGAGCCACCCCTGCTAGAAAAATTTTAAGGCATGTATGTGGCTTACATTATATTTCTATTTGACAGTGCTGATCTACACTGCTTATAGAGCTGTTGACTGCAGGGAGCAGAAATCAAAGCACTCAGGCCTCTTTTTAAAGCAGTAACATACTCTTCACCCTTGATTATAAGGTTTCTTCTTTTTTTCTTTTTTTTTTTTTAAAAAAGGCCGGGTACAGTGGCTCATGCCTGTAATCCTAGCACTTTGGGAGGCCAAGGCGAGCGGATCATGAGGTCAGGAGATCAAGACCATCCTGGCTAACACAGTGAAACCCCATCTCTACTAAAAATATAAAAAATTAGCCGGGTGTGGTGGTGGGCGCCTGTAGTCCCAGCTACTCGGGAGGCTGAGGCAATAGAATGGTGTGAACCCGAGAGACGGAGCTTGCAGTGAGCCGAGATCACGCCACTGCACTCCAGCCTGGGTGACAGAGTGAGACTCCGTCTCAAAAAAAACAACAAAAAAATGTGATTGTTCTTATGGGGTCCCATGGACAAGTTGATTTTTTTGAATATTCCTTCTAGTGTGCTATCAGAGTAGCATAAACGGAACCAGAGACATTGCAGGCCATATCATCCTCTTACCCACTTCCCAATGACTACTTCCTTAGGTGGGTGTGAACCATAACTGCGTAGAGTTAGACTAAGTCTAGTTCCTTTTTTGTTTTACTTGTTAGGTTTATAAAATCAAATGTACCAGTTGTAAAATTGTGACCAATGAGTTTGAAATAATATCCTTTTGTTTTGTAGGTATTTCCTTACTGTCTTTGAGAATCCTGTCATTTCACAATAACACATCATTGTTGTTCATCAACAAATGTATCATCCTACATATTATATTTCCTGAAAGAGATGCTGCAATTAGAGTACTCAACTGTTTCACACTACCTTTGCCTGCACAGGCAGTGGACATGATTATTGACACGCAACTCTGCAGAGGAATTCTTTTTGTTTTGAGTAGTTTAGGCTGGATCTGTATCCTTGGTGGTAGAAGTGTTGATTGACATGTAGAGGAGAAGAATACCTAGAAAGATGAGCCTTTTTAGGCTTTAGTTTTGGGGGCTGGGATATAGGGAGCATGGTTAATTTTTCAGTAAAACTTTTCATGGAAAAAGATCCTTATAAACTTAAAATACTAAATTGTAATCTACTTTATATTCTATTTGAATATATAGTATATATACTATATATTATATTTTCCAGTATGTACATTTTTAGTAGTCTTAATCATATGAATTTGCGTTCTTTTAAAATTGTATATTCTCTTCTTTACCTATTTATTCAAAATGTATTTCTTGAATATCTACTGTGTGCTTAATGTGGCCAGACGTGGTGGCTCACGCCTGTAATCCCAGCACTTTGGGAGGCTGAGGTGGGGGGATAACAAGATCAGGAGTTCGAGACCAGCCTGGCCAATATGGTGAAACCCCATCTCTGCTAAAAATACAAAAAAATTAGCCAGGCATGGTGATGCATACCTGTAATCCCAGCTACTCAGGAGGCTGAGGCGGGAGAATTGCTTGAACCTGGGAGGCGGAGGTTGTAGTGAGCCCAGATGGTACCACTGCACTCCAACCTGGGCAACAGAGCGAGATGGTCTTAAAAAAAAAAAGTGCTTATGTTGTGATACATATCTTTTCATGTGTAAATATAATCTACCTCTTGTCTCTAATGATGTTTCCATCGTATTAATGAATATTTGCTTAGCCATCGTTAATTTGACCTTGGAAAATATGGGTTCATTGTCTCCAGCAGATATATTGGTCATCAGCAAAATTATTCTGAAGATTTGACAAATTACCCTTTATGATTTTGGAACTTTAGTTTCTGAACTGAAAGAAGGTTTTTTATATTTTGTAATAGGTATATAATTTTTGCAAAAATGTCGTAAGTACTAGATTAACAATTTTTGTTGCCGGGTTATGGAACTGCACTGTCCAAAACAGTAGGCATTAAGCATATGTGGCTTTGAGCATATTAAATTGGCTAGCGTAACTTGGGAATTGAATTCTTAATTTTGTGTAATTAAATTTTTTTTCTTCTCCTGAGACAGGGTCTCACTCTCACCCAGGCTGGAGTGCAGTGGCGTAATCTTGGCTCACTGCAACCTCTGCCTCATGGGCTCAAGCGATTCTCATGCCTTAGCCTCCCAAGAAGCTGGGACTATAGGCATGGGCCGCCATGCCCAGCTAATTTTTATTACTTTAGATTTAAAAGCTGATACTCAGTTCAGTCATTGGAGAAGTTTTAAGGATGTTTGTTACAACTTTAGTTGTTCCAACTTTCAACCTTAAATTTTATGAAGTCTCAATACAGATCAGATATTTCTGATGAAAATTTAGTATCCAAATTAAGATGTGCTGTAAGTGTAAAATACCAGACTTTGAACATTTATACAAGAGAAAGAACATAAAATGCCTCAGTTTTTATACGGACTGCATGTTGATAATACTTTGGATAGACAGTATTGGGTTGCATAAAATATATTAGGTTTACCTCATCTCTCAGCCAGTGCTGTTAGAAAATAGTAGTGCCTCTGGTCGCGGCCCACAGTAGATGTTCAGCAGGTATTGTTGAAGAACTTGGTATCAGGTTCTTTACTGTACCACCAACTTCATAGTCATCTGATTGTTATAATGGGGACTTGCGTCAGTTTTCAGTCTTCTTGTTACACCTACAAAATTGGAGTGATAAAGTCTATAGCTTTATCCCAACCTGTGCTTTAAATGGTTAGTCATACTTATAAAACTGGCATTTTCTTTTAACTCTAACTCAAAGACATTTTTGATGTTGTGGATGGTACGTATGTAGCTCATGTGGATTTAGCACTTCACGAAGAAGATATGTGTAATGAGCAGCAACAGGAGCCAGCCAAGATTTCTTCATTTACTTCACTGAAAGTGTCTCAAGACCTCGATGTTGTAGTGATTGTCAGTTCATCCAACTCTGCAATTGCTCTTAACTTAAATTTGTATTTCAGGTATGTAGATGATGGCAGTTTCTAATATGAGGTAAATAATTGACTGATAAGAGGTTAAAAATATCCTTGTTAGTTTGTTTTTTTTTTTAAACTAGTGTTTCTTTTTCTATTCAGTTATATCATGTTCTAGCTAATACATTGTAAAGTAGTTACGGAATAATATGTATAAATGACCACTGGCCACCTTTGTATTTTTGCATATTCATCAAAGTTTTGATTTTGACTTATGTGTTATCATATATGGGTTATGTCATGTAAATCAAAATTACACAATTTTAAACCACAGTTTAGCACTTAATTGTATAGACATATTATTTCCCTAATTTTCTCATGTTTCCCATAGTTTATAAGCTCCTTGAGAACCCAAATTCATGATTTGTTCTTTAAATTCATCGTCAATGACTTTTTCTTCCAGTTTACCTTAGCTTTCCACCTCCACAGCCATACCCAAGGCTTTGTCAGTATTTGAAGTCGGCCCACCCCCAAGTCACTACTTTTTACATCTCAGTCTCTGACCACAACTTCCCAAACTTTCCAGCTTGCTTACTCAAGTACTCCCACTTCACCTATCCTCTGACCTCACTGGAATTTCCAATTCATTGACCTTCTACTCTTCACCCCCTCCTATCTTCACTTCCCTGTCTTTCCAGCATAGATTCTGTGATTCATCATACCAGTTACTTTCTTGCATGTACTCTGAACTCTTGCTCCTGCCCTGTGATAGCACTTGGTCTGGCACAATTTCAACCCTGATTGAAATCTTTTTTTCTGCCTTCACAGTGTCTACAGTCAGGCAGCTGAGTACTTGTAGAAAACAACAAAAGAAAATTGGTACCACTCTAGGTTCACACTTAGTATCTTTAATTGGTCTTAATGTTGCTTGGAAATTTTACAGTGATTTTTCATGAGCCCATTCTTTACAACCGTATTTTTAAACCTTCTCTGTTTTCCTCAAACCTCCATTAATCTCTTTATTCCCAACTTTTCTTGGATGACCTTGCCTCCTATGAAGGCCTATCCCTCTGTGTATGCTTTAAATCCTATTCCTTCCATCCTTCTTAGGGGCCTTTCTCCATTTCTTCTTTTTTATATAGTTGTCATCTTTATCCACAGTTACACTTTCTCCTGGTCAATTGTGGTTCAGAAATATTACATACGCTAAGATATTTTAAGAAAGACTACATTCACATAACTTTTATTACAGTGTATTTTTGTAATTGTCCTATTGTTAGTTATTACTCACTGTGCCTAATTTATAAATTAAACTTTATTATAGGTATGTATGCATAGGAAAAAACAGTACAGTTGACCCTTGAACAACTCGGGGATGCCAACCCCCTGCACAATCAAGATGCCACATGTGACTTTTGACTCCCCCAAAACTTAGCTACTAATAGCCTACTGTTGACCAGAAACCTTACTGATAACATCAACAGTTGGTTAACACATATTTTGTATGTTATATGTATTATACTGTATTCTTACAATAAAGTGATCTACAGAAAAGAAAATGTTAAGAAAATCTTAAGAGAAAATACATGTACAATACTGTACTGTATTGATACTCTACATAATCTGTTTACAAGATGAGTAGTCTGTCTGAAAAGGCAAGCAACCACATCAGCATACCTCAACCCATGGTACATGTCAGGCAATTCATGCTTTTTTTTACAATGTCATGACTTTTCTCTACTTGGGAGCACTTCCAGCATTACATTTCATATGGGTCCCATGGTGTTATTCAAGGTTATGGTATGGTACGAAACATGATGAAAATACATGAGAACCACAAGAAATCACTTTTTAAAAATTATGTTATTATTTTAGAGACAGGATCTTGCTATGTTGCCCAGGCTGGACTCATATTCCTGGGCCCAAGCAGTCCTCCAGCTCAGCCTCCCGAGTAGCTGGAACTATACGTTCATCCACCGTGCCAGCTAGAGAGATCACTTTTTACTGTGATACATAATTTGCTGGAGACAAGAACTGCTCACACAGAGATTATTAGTATCACATGGCATTTTAAGCAGATATTTACAACACTAGGGCTCACTGCAATGGCAACAGGAAGTGGCTATGAGATTATTACAGCAGTTTAGTATATACTACAGCTAATTATAGTTATTTAATACTGCATCTTGACATTTGTTTACATTTTCTTTGGCTTTGAATGGTATCATGTACAGTCTGTAAGTGTGTATGTAGGTTCTGATAAATGTTAACTTTTTTTTTTTCTTTTTTGAGATGGAGTTTCGCTCTTGTTGTCCAGGATGGAGTGCAATGGTGTGATCTCAGCTCACTGCAACCTCCACCTCCTGGGTTCAAGCGATTCTCCTGTCTCAGTCTCCTGAGTAGCTGGGATTACAGGCGCCCACCACCACACCCGGTAATTTTTGGTATTTTTAGTAGAAACGGGGTTTCACCACATTGGCCAGGCTGGTCTCGAACTCATGACCTCAGGTGATCCGACCACCTTGGCCTCCCAAAATGCTGGAGTTACAGGCATGAGCACCCAGCCAGTCTTAACTTTTTATGCCAAGTTTGTGGTTTTGGTTTTTTTTAAATTTTGAGACGGAGTCTTGCTCTATTGCCCAGGCTGGAGTGCAGTGGTACAATCTCGGCTCACTGCAACCTCCACCTCCTGAGGTCAAGTGATTCTCCTGTCTCAGCCTCCCAAGTAGCTGGGAGTACAGGCGTGTGCCACCAAGCCCAGCTAATTTTTGTGTTTTCAGTAGAAACGGGGTTTTGCCATGTTAGCCAGGCTGGTCTTGAACTCCTGACCTCAAGTGATCCACCTGCCTCAGCCTCCCAAGGTGCTGGGATTACAGGCATGAGCCACTGTGCCCGGCCAATTTGTGCATAATTTATGGTAGAAAATGATAGAGTAGGATCTATGTAACTTTTATGCATTCATGACATACCTGGCTTAATCTTGATTTTAAAAAATATTTCTAGGCTAAACTGAGCATGGTAGTACATGCCTATGGTCTCAGCTACTCTGGAGGCTGAGGCAGGAGGATTGCTTGAGTCCAGGAGATCAAGGCTACAGTGAGCTGTCATTGCACCACTGTACTCCAGCCTGGGCAACAGAGCAAGACCCTGTCTGAAAAAAAATATATTTCTAGGCTACATGGTTCATTTGTGAGTTTAAACAAATTGTTGAAATCTCTAAAAATTTTTCCAATATATTTTTGGGAAAAAAACATCATATAAGTGGACCCATGGAGTTCAAACCTGTGATATTCAAGGGTCAACTGTATGTATAGGGTTTGGTACTATCTGCAGTTTCAGGTACCTACTGTGTGTCTTGAATGTATCCGCTGTGGATAAGAGGGGACTACTGTGTCTCCAACTTCTTTTTGGTATTAGATCCACATCCAGTTAATCATCAGATCCTAGCCATTCTGTCTTCTAAATGTTTTTGTTTGTCCACTTTTCTCAACTCTTCCGTCGTCACTCTAATCTATGCCACCATCGTCTCTTAATTGAACTACTTTAATAGTTTCCTACTTGATCTCCTCATGCCTATTCTTACCCCCTGAAATCCATCCACAATAGAGTAGCTAGAGTGATGTTGTTAAAATGCATATTTTATCAGAGGTGTAGCCAGGCATTAACATCTGGGGCAGGGGTATCTACCTTTTATTTTGTTGATGGGGGAACTATTTTCTCATTCATCTTCTCATTTTCACCCTACCTTCTCTAACTTCTTTTCATCATCATCCTGGGACAGTGTCATATGGTTGTGCCAACAAATTACCTTCAAGTTGTTTAAAGGATTAATATTTAATAATGCAAGTGCTCGAGGAGATAAAATCCTTCCCCTTGTTCCCCTAGCTACTCTTCTGCCTCTGTTCGTATTGCTTTTCTGCTTAAAAGACTTCTTCAGGTCCCTTTTCCCCCTCAGATAAAAGTTTAAAATTCTTAATAGCCTTTGGGGCCCTGAACCATCTTTCTAGCCTCATCCCATTCCATCTTCTCATTTTTCCTATACGTTAGCCACCCTAGCCTTCTTTGTTTCTCAAATGTAACAGCCCCCCCTTTTCCACATATACTCTCCCACCTATAGCCACACACATACTTTGCCATCTAGTTCTTATACATTCCTCTGGTCTAAGCCTAAATCTTACTTTGTGGTGGCAGTATAATGAGTGATTTTAAAATCTGGACTAGAGGCCGAGGCAGGCGGATCACTTGAGGTCAGGAGTTTGAGACCAGCTTGGCCAATATATGGTAAAACCCCATCTCTACTAAAAGTACAAAAATAAGCCAGGTGTGGTGTCATGCACCTGTAGTCCCAACTACTCAGGAGGCTAAGACAGGAGAATTGCTTGAACCTGGGAGGCAGAGGTTGCAGTGAACTGAGATTGTGCCACTGCACTCCATCCAGCCTGGGTGACAGAGTGAGACTGTCTCAAAAAAAACCAAAAAAAACTAGACTTGATGGTCATATTAGTCTGTTTCAAAGTGTTTCTGAACCTTAGTTTCCAAATCTATAAGATGGGGTTATATTTACCTCACAGGGTTGTTGAGAGGCTTAAATAAGAGTTTGTGTGAAGTGTTTAGCATAACATCTGAAATATAGTAGACAGTAAGTGTTCTTATTGCTTTATCAAGCTAACTGCCCTTAATAGAATAAAATTCTTACAGTTGACTTTATTACTGCGGCATAAGCAAGGGAGATAAGGAGTTCCTTTCTGGGGAATTTGTTGTCCATACTATTCCTTCTCTGTAGTCTCTCATTTTTAACAGGAGCAATAGTAACACAAATTTGGGTTTGATCATCATTTTTTCATATGGCTATCATTATTTTTAAATGTAGGCAACACCCAGGACACCTACTGTGTGAAAGAACACTAGAAGACCTTCCTATTCAAGGACCTAAGGGGATAGATGAAGATGATCCTGTTAACTCTGCCTACAACATGAAACTGACCAAGTTTTCTTTCCAAATTGATAGGTACAGAAATTTCCTTTTCATTTAGTTTATTGTTCCTATTTTTTATCATGCTGACACTGTACCCTTTCATTAAAGGTCTTTATTTGGTAGATACTTTTTTTTCTTAAGAACGTCTTTGCCCTGGTTTAGTGTTTCACATAGTGCCTTTTACTGTGACAGGTGTTAAGTTATATTTTACCTTGTTTTCCAGGTCTTGGAAAGCCCAGCTATCATCATTGAATGAAACAATAAAGAACTCCAAACTGGAGGTTTCCTGTTGTGCTCCGTGGTTCCAGGATATTTTGCATTCAGAGTCACCTGAATCTGGTAACCACAGTACAAGTGTGCAGAGCTGGGCTTTCATTCCACAGGACATAATACATGGGCAATATAATTTTCTACGGAAAGATCATGCCAAGACCTGTGATCCAGGAAGATCATGGAAGATAATGCACATCGGTGAACAAGAGGAACCCATAGATCTTAAATGTGTGTCTGTGACAGGATTCACTGCACTGTTTACTTGGGAAGTGGAAAGGATGGGCTATACCATTACCCTCTGGGATTTGGAGAACCAGGGCATGCAGTGTTTTTCCCTTGGCAGAAAGTGTATTCCTGTAGACAGTATTGGAGAGCAGCAACTGTGCTTTGTTTTGACAGGTGAGACTGTCTTGTATCAGACTGAAATTCACCATTGCTGAGATGTATGCTTTCCTACTGTATTTTGCTTCTGCCTCAGTGCCTGCCTCACCTTTAAGTGGTATTATAATTGTTTATAGAGGAAGGTTCTTGTTATTCTTGGTAATAGTGTCTCATATGTTTGGCTTTTAATTAACGTCATTTCTGCCCAGCTAAATGCTAAGATACTAAGTCAGAGAAAGTTTGAGAGAAATGAAGTTTATTATTATTATTATTTTTTAACTCAAAGAGTCTTCATTTGACTTGACAAGCAGAGGTTGTAAGCTAGCTGCTCATGGGCCATGTATGAACTGCATATTTATTTTGCTTGGCTTGCACTGTCTAGGCTTTTAAAAAAGATTATAAACATTCATAATTAGAGGGTTTCACACAAATTCTAATTTCCAGCTGTTACTGAAAATTATAAGATCTGGCAACACTGGGCCTGCATTCCTGCATGTTTAACTTATGGGTTGGAGCTGTGTTTCAATCATTCTCTTAGATGGGCCATTTTATTTCTCTCTCTTTTTTTTTAATTTTTTTTTTTAGACAGAGTCTCACTCTCGCCCAGGCTGGAGTGCAGTGGTGCGATCTTGGCTCACTGCAAACTCCACCTCCCTCCAGAGTAGCTGGGACTACAGGCACGCACCACCACGCCCAGCTAATTTTTGTATTTTTAGTGGAGATGAGGTCTCGCAGTGCTGACCAGACTGGTCTCAAATGCCTGACCTCAAACAGTCCACCTGCCTCAGCCTCCCAAAGTGCTGGGATTATAGGTGTGAGCCACCACGCCTGGCTGTACTTTCATTTTTTAATAGAGGTGAGGTCTCACTACCTTGCCCAGGTTGGTCTCAAACTCCTGAGCTCAAGTGATCCTCCCGGCTTTGCCTCCCAAAGTGCTAGGATTACAGGCGTGAGCCACTATGCCTGGCATGAGCCATTTTATTTCTGATTAGGTTTTTCTTTCACTTCTCTCACTACCTGCTAGGCCCCTGTAGGCATGGGACATTTTGATATTTCAGATATGTATTCATTCACTGCAGAATCTGTCTTCTACAAAGGTATTGAATGTTGTGATTGGAATTAACCATGTGTTTCTTCTATACTCAAATTTTGGTAGTCTTGTATTTCTATGTGTCAGGAATAAGCTGTGAATTATTTTATAATGATAAACCAGAAATCTGACATCTCTAAGTGATTAAAGGTTCCATGATTGGTTATGCAAGATAATATAAAGTAGAAATGTGGGATTTAGTGCTTTTTTTTTTTTTTTTCCTGATATGGAGTCTCCCTGACTGGAGTGCAATGGTGTGATCTCGGCTCACTGCCCTCCGCCTCCCAGGTTCAAGCGATTCTCCTGCCTCAGCCTCCAGTAGCTGGGATTACAGGCGCCTGCCACCACACCCAGCTAAATTTTTGTTTATTTTTGGTAGAGATGGGGTTTCATCATGTTGACCAGGCTGGTCCCAAACTCCTGACCTCAGGTGATCTGCCCACCGTGGCCTCCCAAAGTGCTGATATTACAGGCAGGAGCCACTGTGCCCAGCCAATTTGTGCTATTTCATAAAATGCATTGCTCTTAAAAGAATTTGCCTTGTGGTCAGTGTTTTAAAGATAAATTTTCTTGGTGGATGCAGTGGCTCATGCTTGTAATCAAAGCACTTTGGGAGGCCAAGGTGGGAGGATCACTTGAAGCCAGGAGTTTGAGACCAGCCTGGGAAACAAAGTGAAACCCTATTGCTACAAAATAATTTAAAAATTTTTTTAAATTAGCAAAACGATTTTTAAAAAATTAGCTGGGTGTGATGGCACGAAGCTGTAATTCCGGCTACTCCAGAGGCTGAGGTGGGAGGATTGCTTGAGGCCAGGAGTCTGAGGCTGCAGTGAGCTATGATCACACCACTGCCCTCCAGCCTGGGCAATGGAGGGAGACTCTCTCCAAAAAGGAAAAACCCAAAAAACTCTTCTTTAAAAATGTTGAAAAATCATGATGAGTTAATTAAGGTCATTTTAGTACGTGATATCCAGTAAATATATTTGTAATTATAGTACTGAAGTATTGGGTAATTAAAAATTAATTCCTAAATCATAATCCTAAGATCTAATCTAATTTATTAAAGCTAACTTTTATTTTTCCTATAGAGAAAGGACTCTCTCTGATTTTGTTTGGTTTGACACAAGAAGAGTTTTTAAACAGACTCATGATCCATGGAAGTGCCAGCACTGTGGACATTCTTTGTCATCTCAATGGCTGGGGGAGGTGCTCCATTCCCATACATGCACTAGAGGTAACAGAATTAAATGCCCGTAGAACATTACTTAATTATTTTGTGTTATATGCTTTTATTCGATTTAGGATTTGAGAGAATTCATTTAATTTAGCAACAAAAAGAACTATGGCCTTTGCATATCTATTTAAACAGTTCTGGCTGTTTCAGTACCCTAACTCAACTTTTTGGCTTTATACGATACAAGATTATAGTAGATGGTAAGAAAAAGGTACAGGAAATGGAGGCAACATTAAGTTAATGAGACTAAATGAAGTGGAAATAAGTTATGGAAAGCTTGAACAGTAATGATCTTTTATTCCTACCTTATGCTTTCTACTTTTTTTTTTTTTTTTTGGACACAGGGCCTCACTCTGTTGCCCAGGCTGGAGTGCAGTAGTACAATCTAGACTCACTGCAACCTCCGCCTCCCTGGTTCAAGTGATTCTCCCACCTCAGCCTCCCCAGTAGCTGGGACTGCAGGCACACATCACCATGCCCAGCTAATTTTTGTATTTTTTGGTAGAGGCAGGGTTTTGCCTTGTTGGCCATGGCTGGTCTCGAACTCCTAATTTCAAGTGGATTCGCTCGCTGTGTCCCAGAGTGCTGGAATAAGAGAAGTGAGCCACTGCACGCGGCCTGCTTCCTACTATTCTAATCCAACTTCAGAAGAGACATAACCTGAATTTATGTAGCATTTTATAATTCACAAACACTCTTTTACATGCAATATCTAAGTTTGTCCCAAAATAACCACATGAGACAGATTGGGTAGTTTATATTATTTTTATTTTGCAGATGAAGAAACTTAGGCTCTCAGTGATTGAGTGGGTGACCCAGAGCCATATTAATAAAGACAGGAGCTAGAATCAAGGGCAGGGTACCTCTTGCTATACCACACAGTCCCTGAAGTTAATTTCTTTAAATGACAGCTTTATTGAGATATAATCACATACCCATAAAATTCACCCTTTTCAAGTGTACAACTCAATGGCCTTTGGTATATTCAGAGTTGTGCAGCCATCATCACTAATTCAGAACATTTTCATCACCTCAAAAAGAAACTCCATAACCATTAGTGGCCACTCCCTATTTCCTGTTGTCTCCACGTCTTAAACACCAATCTACTTTCTGACTAGATTTTTCTATTCTGGACATTTCATGTAAATGGAATTATAAAATATGTGACCTTTGTGACTGGCATGTTTGACCTAGCATGTTTTCAAAGTTCATGTTGTAGCATGCGTCACTACTTCATTCATTTTTATGGCTGAATATTCCATTTTATCAATATATACTGCTTTTTGTTTATCCATTCATCAGCTGATGGACATTTGGGTTGTCTCCACTTTCTGGCCATTATGAATAATCCTGCTATGGACATTTGTGTACAAGCTTTTGTGTTGACATATGTCTTCATTTCTCTTGGGTATATACCTAGCTGTGGAATTACTGGGTCATTTATTATTTTTGGGGAATCCCCAAACTCTTTTCCACAGTTAATGCACCATTTTACATTCCCATCAGCAATATATGAGGGTTCTGCTAGCTGCACATCTTAGCTAACACTTGTTGTCTGTTTTTTATTCTAGCCATCCTAGTCAGTGTGAACTCAAAATGAAATGGCATCTCGTTGTGGTTTTCATTTGTTTTTTAATAATGACTAAACATGTTGAACATGTTTTCATATGCTTATTGGCTATTTGTGTGTCTTCTTTGGAGAAATGTCTATTGAATTACTTTGCCCCTTTTTAGAATTAGGTTGTCTTTTTATTGAGTTCTGAGAGTTCTTTATATATTCTGGATGCTAGACCCTATGACATACATGATTTACAAATACTTTCTCCCATTCTTTGAGTTGTTATTTCACCTTCTTTTTAAATTTTTTTTAACTTTTATTTTAGGTTCAGGGTACATTTGCAGGTTTGTCACATAGGTAAATTGCATATCATGGAGGTTTGGTGTACAGGTTATTTCATCACTCAGGTAATAAGCATAGTACCTGATAGGTAGTTTTCAATCCTCACCTTCCTCCTACCCTCCACCCTCAAGTAAGCCCCAGTGTCTGTTGTTCACTTCTTTTTGTTCGTGTGTACTATGTTTAGCTCCCACTTATAAGTGAGAACACCCAGTATCTGATTTTCTGTTCCTGCATTAATTCACTTAGGATAATGGCCTCTAGCTCCATCCATGTTGCTGCAAAGGACATGACCTCGTTCTTTTTTATGACTGCATAGTATTCCGTGGTGTATATGTATCACAAATTCTTTATCCAATTGATATGGTTTGACTCTGTGTCCCCAGCCAAATCTCATCTTGAATTGTAATCCCTATGTGTCAAGGGAGGGAGGTGATTGGATCATGGGAGCAGTTTCCCCCATGCTGTTCTCGTGATAGTGAGTTCTCAAGAGATCTGATAGTTTAAAAGTGGCAGTTTTCCCCTGTGCTCTCTCTCCTGCCACCATGTAAGACATGCCTTGCTTCCCCTTCACGTTCCACTATGATTATAAGTTTCCTGAGGCCTCCTGGCCATGCAGAACTGTGAGTCAATTAAACCTCTCTTCTCAGGTAGTATATTTACAGCTGTGTGAGAACAGACTAATATACCAGTGTGCCAACCTAAATGCCAATCATGGGCATTTAGGTTGATTCCATGTCTTTGCCATTGTCAATAGTGCTGTGAGGAATATATTTGTGCATGTATCTTTATGGTAGAATGATTTATATTCCTTTGGTTATATACCCAATAATGGGATTGCTGGGTTGAATGATAGTTCTGCTTTAACTATCTTCTTTGAGAAATCGCCAAACTGCTTTCCACAATGGCTGAGCTAATTTACATTCCCACCAGCAGTGTGTAAGCTTTCCCTTTTCTCTGCAACCTCACTAGCACCTGTTATTTTTTGGCTTTTTAGTAATAGCCGTTCTGACTGGTGTGAGATGGTATCTCATTGTGGTTTTGATTTGCATTTCTCTAATGATAAGTGATACTGAGCATTTTTTCATATGCTTGTTGGTCATGTGTATGTCTTCTTTTGAAAAGTGTGTGTTCATGTCCTTTGCCTACTTTTTAATGTGGTTATTTTTTGCTTGTTAATTTAAATTCCTTATAGATTCTGGATATTAGGCCTTTTTGTCAGATGCATGGTTTGCAAATATTTGGTCTTATTCTCTAGGTGGTCCATTTACTCTATTGATAATTTATTTTGCTCTGCAGAAGCTCTTTAGTTTAATTGGTCCCATTTGTCAATTTTTGGTTTTTGTTGCAATTGCTTTTGGCATCTTTGTCATGAAATCTTTGCCAGAGCCTATGTCCAGAATGGTATTTTCTAGGTTATCTTCCAGGGTTTTTAAAGTTTTAGGTTTTACTTTTAAGTATTTAATCAAACTTGAGTTGATTTTTGTATATGGTATAAGAAAGGGGTTCAGTTTCAATCATGTGCATATGGCTAACCATTTATCCCAGCACATTAATTGAATAGGGAGTTTGGGCATTTTAACAATATTGATTCTTCCTATCCATGAGCATGGGATGTTTTTCCATTTGTTTGTGTCATCTCTAATTTCTTTCAGCATTGTTCTGTAATTCTCATTGTAGAGACTTTTCATATAACTGTATTTCTAGGTATTTTATTCTTTCTGTGACTTTTGTGAATGGGATTGCATTCTTTATTAGGCTCCCAACTTGGACATTGTTGGTGTATAGAAATGCTGCTGATTTTTTTTACATTGATTTTGTATCCTGAAATTTTGCTAAAGTTGTTTATCAGATCTAGGAGCTTTTGAACAGAGACTATGGGGGTGTTCTAGGTATAGAATCATGTCAGCTGCAAACAGAGATAGTTTTACTTCCTCTCTTCCTATTTGGATGCCTTATATTTCTTTCTCTTGCCTGATCTGGTAGGACATCTAGTACTATGTTGAATAGGAGTGGTGAGAGTAGACATTTTTGTCTTGTTGTGGTTCTCATGGGGAATGCTTCCAGCTTTTGCCCATTCAGTATGATGTTGGCTAAGGGTTTTTCATAAATGGCTTTTGATATTTTGAGATATGTTTCTTCAATGCCTAGTCTATTGAGGGTTTTTAACATGAAGGGATGTTGAAGGGAGGATTACTTGAGGAGCAAGCAATGGTTTTTGTTTTTACTTCTGTTTATGTGATGAATCACATTTATTGATTGCATATGTTGAAGCAGTCTTGCATACCAGGGATAAAGCCTACTTGATTCTGTTGGATTAGCTTTTTGATGTATTGCTGGATTCAGTTTGCTAGTATTTTGTGGAGAATTTTTATATCTATATTCATTAAGGATATTGGCCTGGTTTTCTCTTTTTGTTATGTCTCTGTTTTGGTATTAGAATGATGCTGGCCTCATAGAATGAGTTGGGGAGGAGTTCCTCCTCAGTTTTTTGGGCTTTTCACCTTCTAGATGGTATCCTTTGAAACACAAAAGTGTTTTATTCTTATGAAATCAATGTATCTTTTTTGGGGGGAAGAGGGGGTCATTTTTGCTTTTGGTGTTCAATCTAAGAAACCATTGCCTAATCTGAGATAGTACAGATTTACTCTTAAAAGGGTTTTATAGTTTTAGCTCTTACAGTTAGGTTTATTATGCACTTTAAGTTCAATTTCTTATATGGTATGAAGGAGGAGTCCACCTTCATTCTTTTGCATTCTTTTTTTTTTTTTTTTTTGAGATGGAGTCTCGCTCTATTGCCCAGGCTGGAGTACAGTGGCGCGATCTCAGCTCACTGCAAGCTCCGCTTCCTGGGTTCAAGCGATTCTTTTGCCTCAGCCTCCCAAGTAGCTGGGACTACAGGTGCCTGCCAGCACGCCCGGCTAATTTTTGTTTTTTTAGTAGAGACAGGGTTTCACCATGTTGGCCAGGCTGGTCTTGATCTCCTGACCTCAAGTGATCTGCTCGCCTCTGCCTCTCAAAGTGCTGGGATTACAGGCGTGAACCACCGCGCCCGGCCTCTTTTGCATTCTTTTGTGGCTCTTCAGTTGTCCCTGCACCATTT